AACCTAGCAGCATCAAAACAGGGTAAGCTAAGGATCCTCTTAGTGACACTGGATGTCTAGAGGTTGTCAGTGCAATAAAATCACTTAAAAAATGGTGCAGCGCTGCAGAGAAACCAAGCTTCCAGGTTTTATTGTCAAAACTTAATTGAACAAGCTGAAGTTAGAATGTGATCAGCTACCAAGCACAGTTGCAGGGTCGGGACAAGGGGTGGGCAGAAGGGCCATCTGCCCAGGGCACAGTGGTTGGGGGGAGAGGGCACACCCTCAGCACACACAAGCCCCACCCATATGGAAGAAAAATATATTTGAAATATATTTTTAAATATTCTTCCAAATATATTGACATATATTTGAAATACTACAATTTTGGCCATATTCAATATATTTCAATAAATATACTGTATATGTATACTGTATGTTGAAATGCAGTTTTATTACAAAATATATGAAAAATATTTTTAAAAATACATTTCAAATACACTGTATGTCTTTAAAAATATAAATCTACATTTTGGAATGCATTTACAAATATATGTAAAACAAATGTTAAAAAAAAGTTAAATAAAAAATCAGAAGAATTTATTTAAAAAATATATACTTTCTTAAATATTTTTCATATATTTTGTGATATATAAAATTTTGTAATATATATAAAATGTTGTAATATAAAAAAAAAGCATTTACTGCATGTTGAAATGCGTTTTTATATAATTACAAAATATGTGAAAAATATTAAAAAATATATATATTTATTGAAATATATTTTGAAATCTATTGAATATGGCCAAAATTTTAGTATTTAAAATATATGTCAATATATTTGGAAAATATAATTTTATTAAATTTAATTATATATAATTTAATATATTATATAATTCAATTTTATATATTTTTAAATATATTATTATTTTATATATATTAATTATGAAGATCTCAACATTTATAATATTTCTAAAATATATTTCAAATATAATTTTCTTCCATGTGGGAAGATCAGGGGCTAGCAATCACTGGGCTGCTCAGACAGCTACTGCTGTCACACTGTGCTTCAACTTGCCCACTCTCGCAACAAGCAGTTTCAACTACCTTGCAAGCAAGTGACTCCGTGCCAGCCAGAGCAAGGGGGCAGAATTGGTGCAGGGAGGTACACTTGATTCTGCAGCATGCATTAAGAGTGGGAAAGGGGGTGCAGTTCCTTATCCTTGCCCTGGGTGCTGAAACAGCCTGTCCTGGAACTGCAGAGCTGCACCAGATTCTGAGTGCACCATTTTTAGTAAATCTCCCCCAATATTTGAACTGATCTGAGCATCACATGTGATATTCAGGAAGGGGTTGACTACTGTGTAATAGCAAACTTGAGAATATCAAGCATGCATTGTACAAAAAATATATTATACAAAATATACATATTATGCAAAAAAAGATAATACAGCATGTTGTAAAATATCTGCAACCGTTTCACCCTCAGAGCAGTGTCCATGAATGACCAATGTATGTCTGCCTTAAAGGTTACCATACACATACCACTACGACGTCTATACCATCTGTTTTCATTTTGAATTTACATACATCATCATTACTCATTTCAGTTTTTCCATTGGATGACTAGTGAGCATTGTGGTAATATTAGCCCTCTGGTCCTACAACCAATAGAATACATAGAAAATTTATGAAATAATACTAGGCTATGTTGTTCCATCAAGAAAATGGATATTGATGTTTGTCACCAGTACTCGGGGCTTTAGATGTTCTATGTACGCAGCTGAGCTAGATGTTTATTGCATGATCTAATAAAACATGAAGCACAAATGTCTACATGGCATGCAAAGAACTCTGAGCCTCCCAGTGATTTTCTTTTTATTCCAGTGGGATTCTTGCCCTTGTCTCTTTACATGCCTACTAGAATTAAATTACTCAAGACTAGTGCAGATTTATCAAGGACATTAAGAATGGAATGGTTAGTGGAATAGTCAAGATCAGATTGAAGAAGAACCAGCTGGTTTACGACATAGAACACAATAACAGCAATAATCAAAGTCAAGACCTGAAATGTCAATCACAAGAACACAAGAAGGCAGGTCACCAGAGGAAACTCTCTAGCAGTTAATGAGCGTACAACGTTGTAATGGGTGTCTACTGGTTATTGTGTCTTCTCTAAGTGTGCCACTGCTTCTCCTTAGCATGTGAGAGATGATCAGATCTGAACCAGAGAAGATAGACATAATGTCAAGATTAATGTCAAGATTCATGATTAATTAAAGCTGGATGAGTTGTGCCATCAAAAATGTGACATAATGCACTAAAATCTGTTTTTATGAAACCTGTAAACTGATAATTGGATAATTAATACCGCCCTAAGCCTGATGTAAGCTTGCATTTTCAATGGCAGAAGGCTGGAGAAGAAATTTACACAAGGTAGAATCAAGGGGGGATTCACACTTAAAGCAGAACTTCTCCCTAAAGGGAAAGTTCTTCTTTATGCCCTCCTCCCCCCTCTTCTACTTTGGTACTTGGGGGGGGGGGGGGTACCTGGTTTTAACAGGTAATTGCTCCCACTTCTGGTTGGCCACAGCGATCCACCGGACGTTCTTCTCCCCCCCGCCTGCAAACTTCTGGGACACCTCACAGGTCCCAGAAGGCTGTGCGACCACTCACAAAGCACAGGGAGATGGTAAAAAAACATTTTGGGTGAGGACAGCGCTGCACCCCTGGAATGCTGAGTGTACTTTTATTAAAAGTCACTGATTAGGACCAGAGACCATGCTGGACCTATTTGATTAATCACTGGCCATGAACGGATAATGAGGTGGGCAAGTGGGAAGGCTTGACTTCAAATGATTTGTGCCCAACTCAAAAGAAGATGACAGTTATCCCTCTTTGGGCCTGGGCTGCTACCACTGGGTACGGCCTTATGGTCATTTCCACAAGAGAATTAGGAAGAGTAGGTAGAAAGGAGTGTTCACTGTCCAGTAAGGTAGGTGAGTTTGAAGATGTTTATTAGAAATCACATCAAACTCACCTTCCAACTCTTAACAATTTTGACCTTTTTGGTTTTGTAACATTTTCTTATTTTGTAACAGTTGATAATACAATTTTTTATGAGAATTGGAGAAAACAAAAATAGGAAAATATTATTATAAAAAGACAGCAAGCTTTGTGTTATGAAAGTAAATCCCTCAGCTTCTGATGGTGTTAGGTATTAGATTTTTATAATAGCTGCTTTATCGTTGCAAGCAAGGTAGGCCAATGTGCGCTTCTTTTTTTTTTGCTGCTTTTTTTTTACACAAAGATTCTTCTTTATACCCTGATGGGTCTCTGAACAATTTGAAATGTAAAAAAATGGGATTTTCAGGGTGTCAGCCATTTACTATACTCATACACGATATCTCTTTGCAAAAATTCAAAGTTCGAGTTAAAAGATGGCTGTTATTCTCTGGCCAAACGGATATACACAGCTATCATCCATATTCTCTGCAGCTCCCTTCACGGGGGGCTCTTCCTTCCCTTCTATGGTACTGCATCTGCACAGCTTCTAATTAAACTATTTAATCACTAAAGCCAGTTCATCAGGGGTCAGTAGGAAAAAGCCCTTTACAATGATGATCAGTTGGAAGAATGAACCTTTTCAATAGTGGTGAGAATGCCAGACAGCTAAAAAGATCACTGGTGGCCTGCTGCTGGCTTTGCCAAATGATGTTGGTCCTGGAACTATGCAGGCACCATCCAATAGGACAACCAACCATAGCTGTAGGAACCCCTAGAAACCTCTGAATGAACCACAGATTTTCACGAAACCCTGGTTGAGAAACGCTGCTCTAAACAATTTTAAACACTAGTTCCCTGTTATAGAAAGTTATTATACTCTCCAGAGGCCAATATCTCCTGCCTTTCCTGTTTTCTAGCACTGTACATGTAGGAGACGCAGGCTGCCAGAGAGATGAGTATACTACTTGTTCTATTGCAGGGTTATAGGCAGGTGCAGGTTGACCTCCTCAAACAGGTGGCGCTGTTGCATCCACCTTGCAGGGAGAGTGGAGGACAGGAATATCCATTCCTCTTATGCTTCCATAGATGTCATTGGGGGGCTGCTGTCTGAATGGACGCTGCCACCCAGGTGACCTCTGCGGCCATATTTAGTAAGGGCAGAGCTTACAAAAAGCCGTGGCTCACTGCAGTTCTGCATGTGGCTAGGTTACGAACAGGAACCCACTTGTCGAGGAGAGTGTGCCTAGCATGGGGAGAGGTTCCAGAGGAGGATGTATTTATTGCATCTGCCTTACAGCTGCTCCCTGCACCAGGTGCTACCAGCCTCTGTGCATCGCTCTCTCTTTTTGCTATAAAACATATACAATAGAAAATTAAAAAAATTAAATTTCTTCAAAAGTTTAACTCAAAATGTATTCTACCACATGTCTTTGGTAAAAAAAATTCCCAATAAACATATATTAAATGGTTTGCGTGATAGTTATATTGTCGAACAATGACAGAATTTTGGAATTTTTTTTTTTAATACTACTAATAGCAGCAATCAGTGATTTACAGTGGGGCTGTGATAGGCATGCAATCTGACACTGGGTAACTGACACTGACATCACCAATGACACTAATACAGTGATAATAATATGTACTGTCACTATACTAATGACACTGGGTAGGAAGGAGCTAATATCTGGGGCATTCAAAGGGTTAACTGTGTGCCTAGCAAGTGTCCATTTGTTCACAGTGTGCTTATTTTACTAAGGGATGTGACAGTTTTTATTCACCACTTTGCAAAAACTGCCACCTTCCCGCTCTCAGTAGAGAGATCTGTGTTGTTTTTGCTGGAGCCAGTGACAGTACACCCGGTTCGGCAGGCATGTGTGCATGCCCCCTATCCAGAACTGCAAAATCACATATATACACTATATTGCAAATAGTATTGGGACATCCCTCCAAATCATTGGATTCAGGTGTTCCAATCACCTCCATGGCCACAGGTATATAAAATCAAGCACCTAGGCATGCAGACTGCTTCTACAAACATCTGTGAAAGAATGGGTCGCTCTCAGGAGCTCAGTGAATTCAAGCGTGGTACCGTGATAGGTTGCCACCTGTGCAATAAATCCATCCGTGAAATTTTCTTGCTACAAAATATTCCACGGTCAACAGTGTTATTATAACAAACTGGAAGCAACTGGGAACAACAGCAACTCAGCCACGAAGTGGTAAGCCACGTAAAATGACAGAGTTGGATCAGTGCATGCTGAAGCGCACAGTGCGCAGAGGTCGCCAACTGTCTGCAGAGTCAATAGCTAAAGACCTCCAAACTTCATGCGCCCTTCAGATTAGCACAACAACAGTGCATAGAGAGTTTCATGGAATGAGTTTCCATGGCTGAGCAGCTGCATCCAAGCCTTACATCACCAAGTGGAATGCAAAGGTTGGATTCAGTGGTGTAAAGCACACCGCCACTGGACTCTAAAGCAGTGGAGACTTGCTCTCTGGAGTGACGATTCACGCTTCTCTGTCTGGCAATCTGATGGACGTATCTGGGTTTGGCAGTTGCCAGAACAACGGTACTTGCCTGACTACATTGTGCCTAGTATAAATTTTGGCGGAGGGGGGATTATGGTGCGGGTTGTTTTTAAGGGGTTGGGCTTGGCACCTTAGTTCCAGTGAAGGGTACTTTTAATGCATCAACATACCAAGACATTTTGGACAATTTCATGCTCCCAACTTTGTGGGAACAGTTTGGGGATGGCCCCTTCCTGTTCCAAAATGACTGCACACCAGTGTGCAAAGCAAGGTCCATAAAGACATGAATGAGCGAGTTTTGGGTGGAGGAAGTTGACTGGCCTGCGCAGAGTACTGACCTCAACCCAACAGAATACCTTTGGGATGAATCAGAGTGGAGACTGCAAGCCAGGCCTTCTCATCCAACATCAATGATTGCCCTCACAAATGAACTTCTGGAAGAATGATCAAACATTCCCATAGACAAACTCCTAAACCTTGTGGGCAGCCTTCCCACAAGAGTTGAAGCTGTTATAGCTGCAAAGAGTGTCCCAAATCTATATTGAACTATATGGACTAAGACTGGGATTCCATTAAAGTTCATGTGTGTATATAGGCAGGTATCCCAATACTTTTGGCAATATAGTGTATATACGAGTGATTCTGCACAGCCGGCCCACACTATAGCTGTATATCTAAAGTGCGCTAGCGGGTTGGCAAGTGGTTAAACAGTATAGGCACTTATTTATAATGTTTTATATACTGTAGCTATACCTGCAAAAGGGCCAGCCTGAAGTGATCTAGCCGGACTTAATTTTCTGACTATAGTTCTACTTTAAGCAGATTTTTATCCTTTATCCATCTATAATTCTAATTATCTCTCAAACAGACTGACAGTTAGATTTTTATAACAGATGCTGACGGTTGGTGGCTGTAGCAATACATTCCAGCAAAATGTTCTTCCAGTTTCTTTCGAGGCACACCCACATCTTTGAAATGTTTTACAGGCATATTTCCCAGTATTTTATATGTGCAAGCAACAAATTGTACATAAAACATTAGAGCGGAGGCCTGACTCACCGTTCTTTGTAACTCTTGCATCATTTCTATGTGTGCACGTTTGTCTATGTCACCTGCACCTGGGGAAGGACATTAGTGTCGCTTATGAATGCTAAGATACCGTTTTTCCACCTGGATTCCACACACTGTCACTGTGACCTTTGTGGTCAGATGTATGCCCTGGTACAGAAGACTATATAGAACGATTTCAAAGTGTAAATCTACAAAAATTAATTTCTCAATCTACAACAAAGAATATTCTATATCAAATCACAACATATAGTATAATCAATGAACAGTATAGGCTGCAGTCTGTTTTTGAGGTTAGAAATATTGACTGCTGGAGGCCACAGTACAATTACCACTATATTCATAATATTTCTTCTCTCCGGGATTGTGAGGATTTATTCATATTGTACAAACGCCAAAGGCTTATCCACAACATTTCTATGCATTAGAGAGCTTGAATCTGCACATTAAATGTTGTGAATGACCCATCGCTGCTAACCCCAGTGTGCACCTTGGTAATTTGGTAGGAACATCCATCTTGGTCATTTTGGTAGGAACATCCACCTTGGTCACTTTGGTAGGAACATCCATATTAGTCATTTTTGGTAGGAACATCCATCTTGGTCACTTTTGATAGGAACATCCATATTAGTCATTTTTGGTAGGAACATCCATCTTGGTCACTTTTGATAGGAACATCCATTTTGGTCACTTTTGGTAGGAACATCCACCTTGGTCTCTTTTGGTAGGAACATTCATCTTGGTCACTTTTGGAAGGAACATTAACCTTGGTCACATTTGGTAGGAACATCCATCTTGTTCACTTTGGTAGGAACATCCATCTTGTTCACTTTGATAGGAATAACCATCTTGGTCACTTTGATAGGAACTATCATCTTGGTCACTTTGATAGGCATATCCTTCTTGGTCAATTTTGGTAAAACATGCTGGAGCTGTGTGGCTTTGGCCTCATTCAGATTGGGGTTGTTGCCTGTAATGGGAGCAGGCTGTCTTTATCTTAGGCCTCATTCACACCTGAGCTTTATATAGCACAAAGCTCAAAGCTCCAAAACATTTGGGGAGAAAAAAAATCAATTTTTCTCTTTGGAGATGGTTCAAATCTCCATTGCAAGTCACCTGAAGCTCAAAAAAGTTTTGGAGCTACTTTTGGAGCTTCATTCAGGCAGATTGATGCGTTTTTGGGGCATTTTCATTCCCATAAAAATAAATGGAAATGCGCAAATCACGAGTTTTCATGCACTTTTGTCACACAACCAAGAGCATTTATCTGGCAAGGCAAAACATGGCAACAAGTGATGTCATAGATGAAATGTTTCTCTATTGGCTAATACAAAAATGCCAGAACTCAAAAAGCCTGAAAACGCTTGAACAAATCGCACACAAACATTCTCAAACATGCATAAAAAACATGCAACAAAACAAGCAAAGCATAGTGCACAAAAACGCTACGCTCAGGTGTAAATGGGGGTCTTAGCATCTGCATCCCCCCCAAGCTGTGGGCAATGGGGTATCTGGGTGATGTGTAGGCCACCTACATACACCAAGGAACTGCTGCAGAACTTTGGGATGTGATTGCGATGTTTGAGTCTATAAATTGAAGCGCCATACCAAAGTATTAGAGTTCAAAGTAGAGTTTTATTCTAAATATGTAAAAAAATGCAACCAGGGCCACTGACAAGGGTGTAGCACCAGCCCTCCAGTACCAAGCCCGATCCTGCCAATTCAGCAGGGGGGGCCCAGAGACAATGAGGGGACTCCCAATTTCCATGCTCTTCAGCAATTAATAAAAAAAACTTCCCTGGACCCCGTTTGCTCAGGAGTTATCCGGGAGCAGAAAGGGGTCTAAAGCAAAAATTTTATATACTGCAGCCTAGCAATTCTTATTTGTGATGGTTGCATTAGTTTTCTTTTTTAAGGCTTTCTTTCCTTTATTTTCACCTGGTGTTCCAGCCGGGAAATCTGTTATTTTTCAACAGACAATGTTGTCCTGTAGATGCAGCAGCTAGGCCTCTTGCACACTGCAGCTTGAAAACGCTCAGTACAGCTTTTTTTTCTTTTTTTATGTTCTAAAATGCAGTCCATTGTTTACAATGAGTAAAAAAAATTAAAAAAATCTGCTTTGCCATTTAGTATTTTTTCCAGTTATACTTGCAAATACGCACAAATACGCGCAAATGCCACACTTCCTGCTTGAGTGTGCGTGCTCTCAAATACATGTGCTATACAGCCCATCTTTGTGTTTTTTCTGCCAGGAATGTCTGATGCTCATATATCAGTACAGTGTGCAAGGGGCCATAGAGGGTAAGCCAAGCCATGTACCACTGACAGAGGGGCTACCTATGGTCAGCTTTGACTTATGTAACACTTTATCCCAGTTGTTCAGCTTCAATTTGTTGGTCTAGGTCTGCTTGTACATCTTGGGCAAGACATACATGTAGAGCAGGTTGAACCAAAAGAAAAAAAAAAAAACAAAAAAACGTACAGATCTCCACATCTACACAAGCAATCTGGATGCAGGGATCTGTTCTGCTATGCTATTATATCCTGACAGAGTTGACTCCTGCCGGCCAGCCAGTATACACTGATCAGCACTGATCAAACTTTAGTTTTCCAGAGTTCGACAGAAGCTGGTCATTAGACCTCATTCATTCCCAGTGGGGGCGCTAAAAAAAAAATGCAGCCACTGCATCTAATGATTGGTAAACTGAAATATATTATATTTTTTGTTTTGGGTTTAATACTGCTTTAACCTCCCTAGCGGTCTGGTTATGTCCATATTTCTGTGCTCAAAGCGGTAAATGTTTTTGCATGGAAATATGTATTTTTTTTATTGTGGGCCTGTAAATTTAGGAATAACTTACTGAAATCTGTCCAAACAAGAGTCTAGTAAACATCCCAGGTATTTTAAAATTTGAAACATGAAATCATAAATTATAATATAATAAATAATCATAAATAATAATAATAATATAATAATAATACATTTAATTCAATAATATAATCAAACCAAAAACACTGAAATTTGAAATATAGCGCCAAGTTCACACATCACTGAGCAAAGTCGCAAAATCGTTTTCAGTGTCTGATAACGAATTTCCCCACAAACCATTATCACTCAATTCTGCAAGTGGTTCTGATTTACTATCGCTGTTCTCTAGCCAGTCTAAAACCGCTTTGACCTAAAGGGACGCTTTTTGGACGCCATGGACATTTCTCAGTTTCCAGGCAGAAAGAACAGTAAAAATGTAGACAGGGGACAGGACAAAGCATTAGGGACAATATGTATGTGAAATGGTTTGATACAGTAATGTCATACTATGTGATTTTAGTGCATTTAGTGTCATTTTCAAATTTCCCGCCAGTTCCGTCCCCATACGTCCCGACGCTCGCAGGGGACGGAACCCAGATAACAGATGCCGGCATCCGCCGGAGGACATTACAGGGGACACTGCAGGGGGAACATCGCGGGAGCAAAGGACAAGGTAAGTGATCGAGGGATCCCGGAGCAACGCCGCATGGTAAGCCCGAGTGTAGCTCGGGGTTACCGCTTGTGGTACTGAAAGTTTACCCCGAGTTACACTCGGGAATACCACCAGGGAGGCTACAGGCTCAGTTCACCTTTTACAAAAAAATAAATAAATAAATAAATGCATATATTTTTTGCAAGTAAAAAATGTGCAATTATTATTTTTTTACAGCCTGTAAGACATTGCACCCACAATCAGGAGATCGTGGGTGCAATGCCAGGATCCTGCAGGCACTCAGTACAGCTGTCTTGCCAATACCTCGAATGGGCAGGCAGTTACTAAATGGCAGGAAGAATCAATGAACTACAACAGTCCTCGCCAGTGCACTTGCAGTTCATTGAGAACTATAAGCCATCAGCCTCAGAGGGCGATGGTAGTTGTAGTTCATTCATTCAGAGGTGAACTTATCTTTTAATGACTTTCAGGTGCAGGCGGAGTAATCTTGCACACTGCGGTTCCTGATAATTAAATTAAAGTTCCAGCCTCTTCTATATCAATCTACCAGGGCAGGCCGGGACTCTAATTTGATTGTCAGCTGTACAGATTACTCTGTCTGCATCCAAAAGTCAATAAACAGCTACCTTTCTTCCCTCAGTCCC